TGATGTTTTGTATGGTTGGATGTGTTACATTTTTTCCCCCAAAGTCAAATTGGTGTTTATTTAAAAAAAAAAAAGAAAATAAACCTAAATAACTTTATACAATATCCGCATGTTGTTGTAACTTCATCTTTTTTCTTTTATAGTTTTATTGAGATATAATTCACCTAGCATAAAAGTCACCCATGTAAAGTGCACAATTCAATGATTTTGAGTGTGTTCCTAGGGTTGGGATGTGCTGGATTTTAGTGTATGTACTTCTGACATGTAGCTGTATAACGTGCCTGTTGGTGTCACTGCAGGACTCTGCTGTCCAGTTTTCACAGCTGCCTTCCTCTCAGTGTTGTGTTTTCTTGTGACCAAATTAGGCAGCAGTTAAATGTAATGCGTCTGTCTCAAGGGAGACTGCCATTGCAGAAATGGGGGATAAATGCACCTTTGAGTTTCACAAGCTGAGAGCCGGATGAAAGACGCAAAAGTTTGGGAAAACACAGGCTCCTGTAGAGGCAGCCCCTCCGTTTCCACCTCCCTCCCCCACACTCCAGTTACCTTTTGAGAGTAGACAACACTTTGGGATATGTGGGAGAGAGAGGGGAACTGGAGGGAACCAACACTGGTGGGGTCCTGAGAAGGGTCCTCAAACCCCAGGTCCAATTTGCATTGGAGAGTCAGGAGGACTTCTGCCTTTGTTCCTGGTGACGTGGCTTGTGGAGTTCCTGTCTACAGCCTGGCCTGGCAACAGAAGAGCAGAATGGTATGGGTGCTCTTACTAAGTGGAGAGGACCTGAGATCACCTTGCAGCCTTTCCAGAGGTCCCAGGTAGCCAGATTTTCCCATGCGCTTGAGAGGATTGTGAGCAGAGCTGAAAGTGAGTGGATGCCGGGAATCCCTGAGATGAGGAAGATGATGATGCTAGGGGCACCTGTATGGATCTGTAGTCAAGGGCAGTAGAAGGTGATGGACCTTTCAGCAGCTGCCTGCATGGACTGATGTCACAAAGACATCTTAGACACCACTGGGGATGGAGAGGGTGGGGGTGGGGGGATGACACTGATTTGATTGAGGAGATCTTGAATTGACCAAGATTAAGTCCATGGAAAGGGTGCTTAAAGTAGAACTTATGTTAAATTATGGAAAAAATTTAAAATGTAATGTTTTTTTCACACCTGGGATGGTGGCTTTAGAGTTGCGTTTTTAAAATCTTGATCATGACACCTATTTCTCCAAAATACAGCTTCCCCATGTGTAAACTAGGGTTGAGGAGGATGAGTTGGACTAGGTGGTATCAAGAGCTTTTCCAGCTCAGATTGATCATGATGCTAAAGTCTTGGAATCTCCGATGTTTCACTGCCCACCTGTGAAAGTTTTCCCCATAAGACACTCTCTTTGCAGTCCTTTCCCCAGTCTCCAGTCTCCTGAAAATCTCCAGGATAGCTCAAGGTGACAGGGACAAGGGGGATGTTCCCAGCTCTCTCAGAGATCATATGAAAATGCAAGAGAATAATATATGTACAATCATGCCATCAGGGCAAATGGAAACATTTTGGCTTTCTGCTTCTCCTTCCAGTCCATGCTTACATAAGTACCACTTCTGTACCAGATCCTGGAGACCGCATTGTACCCAAGGGCTTTTGAGAGGCGAGAAGGATGGAAAAGGAACAATGGCTATTTTAGTTCTGCTGATTGGCTGCCCTGGCAACCGGCTTTACAGACTCAGCGAGTCTAAAATATCTTTGCAGCTCTGACCCCTCTCCTGAACTCCAGATGTGTATGTCCATCTACCTACTCAACATCTGCACTTAGATGACCAACAAACATTCTATTTAACGTTTTTGAAACTGAAACCTTAGTTCCCACCAGAAAACCTATTCTTCCACCTGTTTTCCGCATCTCATCCATGGCTCAGCCTAGCCAGGAAGCCATACCCAATTCCACCCCATTCATTACTTTCACATTCAGTCCCCAAACACGTCCCCTCATTTCAACCCATAAATACACCTCCCCATTAGTCATTTTCTCTCCCTCTCCACTGGCACCATCATAGCTCAAGGCACCTTCATGACCCCTGGTTTGCTGCAGTAGCTTCACATCTGAATTTTCTGATTACTTGCTTTCCTCTAATCTACTTACCTCACAGAAATCATGATGATTTCAAAGAATATAAATCAGATCTTATCATTTACGCTGTGGATTAAAACTCTCCAATGTCTTTCCATTTTTCTCTAAATAACATCCCAACTCCCTCCTTGGCTGATAGCCCTGTCTGATTTGTCTCCTCTCCATCTCTTCGCCTTTGTTCCATGTCCCATCACTCTCATATTCCATCCCCACTGGCCCCCTTCCTCTTCCTTGAACATCCCAAACCCCTTCATACCTTGGGGTTTGGGCCAGTGGGTTCCCTGTGACAAGAGTGTGTTTCCCCAGGCTCTTGTGACTTTCAGATATGAGCTCAAATATTCTGTTTTCAGAAATGCTTTCTCTACTATTCTTTCTAGATAGCAGCCACTTAATTCCTAATGCTTGTGGAGATCTCTGTCATTACAATCTACATTATTTTCTGCACCTTTTTATTTTCTTCAGGATACTCATCACGTTCTCTTTCTTTCTTCCTATCTCTCTCCCTCCCTCCTGCTCTGTCTCCATCGTTTCTTTTCTGTTTGTATTCATCAGACTGTAAACTCCACAATGGTAGGGACTGTTTATACCAATGTTCAAAATATTTTCTCTGTGTCTAACATAGTGCCTGTTACATAGTTTAAAGCTCAGTAATATTTGTGGAATAAATAAAGACAAAACCTCCTCTTCAATGAGCAATTATTTGTGTGGAAGCTCTGGACTGGGCTTGCTTGGGACGTGAGCTATTACCTTAAAGGGGTGAGGAATCTTCATGTCCAAGCTGGGACTCTGCTGGCTGATTCATCATTTTTTTTTCTGGTTTCAAGGTATGGGACACCTGGGACATTCCCTATCACTTTCTTGAGGTATAATTTAGGGAATGAATAACTATCTAAAGTTTTTGAGGAAAGTTAAATAAAAATTATTCTCACGTGTGTTTAGCGTATGGATTTGGAGACTCCAGAGGGAGACTTGTGAGGAGGAAGTTGGAACGATCTAGGTAAGTGCCAGTGAGGGTTGGAGCAACCATGAAGATAAATGGGAGGGAACAGAATTCATGGGACTTGGAGACCAAGGGCATCTAGGACTCAAAATGTGAGGTGTTGAGGTTGTACAAGTGCCGATGCTGTCCTTGTAAACCCTAATAAAGAATCTTTTCAAATTTTGCTCCCTGAACACTTTGCTTGCCTCATTCTTGTCCTGGTCCTGCTTCCAGGACAGAGGTGAAGGAGAAGGAGGCCAGCACATCCCCAAGGCTCCCCGTATTGGAGGTCAGGTTTGGAGATGTTAAGGCTGAAGCTGCTCTGCTTTGAATAGAAAATGTTGAAGAGGAGATTCATGTCTGAGGGGTGATGGAAGTGGGCTCAGTGCCTCCATCTCTGTGACTACAGAGGTTCAAGGCCACAGTGAATCAAATACAGTAAGATGCCTATTTCCCTGGGCTTATCTGTCCTTTTATAGAGATCCTTTCTCCAGAACTAGGACTACACTGCTTCCCCCAGATCTTCACCAGGGCCATGCTGGGGCTCAGGACTAATCCTAAATCTACTCCAGGACCACCTGTCAAACCTGGAAGTACAAGCATTCTTTCCTTCTCCCCACCCGGAGACATGGAGTGGGCTTGAGTGCAGAACAGCAGGCCTGAGAGGTCAGGAAGCTGTAGGATGAGGATGCGTCAGGATCTCCCCATCTGGCCCTAGAACCATAGACAGCGAGGCTCCTTGGAAAACACTGAGCAGAGTTGGGTTTGAACCCGGGTTTCTTTTTCCACTCCTTGTTATCTGAGTAACACTGAGAAAATTGGGGAAGAGTGTCCACCTTGTGGGATTGATATGAGGATGAAATAAGATAAAGCATGTGAAGTTCCAGACCCATGGTGCACCTATTAACCGTGTTTTCCTCCTTATGTAGAATTGCCGATTGTCATAATAAGAAGGAAACTTGGGGCTTTCTAGGTAACACCCTTCCATTTATTCTTTTCCTTTGGATCTTAAGTACATAGAACTGTACATATCATAAATCTTGTTTCATAAAACACTCATCATTGATACTTGCATGATCCTCTTTTATTAATCCACTTAGCTACTCATCCATCCATTTATCCAACTATCCATCCATCCATTCTTGCTGTCTCCTTTTTTCTCTCCCTTTCTTTCTCCATTTCTCCCTTCCAATATTCCATCCATCTCTCTATCTACCTCCTTACATACCTATTTATCAATGTTATATTGTCGTTCTGTCTATTTTTTTCTTTGTAGTGATATAAACATTCATGAAGCCTCCACCCAGTATGGAAGCTAGAATCTTGATATTAACTTCCGTCTACCTAGATGTACCCACCCTTCTCATCCCTCTCCCTCCCCAACCTAAGACAACTACTATTTTAAATCTTGGGTTCATTGTTCCTTTTTTGAAGAAAATATGGCTTTATCATATTTATGTGTATTCACAAAGGTCACTTGTTAGATGTTTTTAGCTTTATAAAAGAATATCATGCTGCATGAAATCTTTTGGGGCTTACTCACCCCTAATATTTTTTTGCCCAGATTTATCCATATTATTGTGTGTAGCTGTAGTTCATTCATTTTTACTGCTGTACAACATTCCATACTGTGATTGTACTCAATTATTTGCCCATTGTCCTCTAAATGGATATTTGGGCTGCTCTCAGGTTTTCCTAATTTTAAGCCATGCTACCATGTATGTACTTGTACGTATCTCCTGTGCACGTGTACAAGAGTTTCTCTTGGGTGTAACCCAAGAGTGGAAATGCCTGGTTATGGGGTATGTGAATGTTCAACTTACAACTTTCCAGACTGTTTTCTGAAGCAGCTGTGCCACTTTACATGTCCATCAGCAAGGTAAAAAAGAGCCTGGTGCTTCTTCACTTTTGCTGTTTGAATAGGGACAAAATGGCGTCTCAGTGTGGTTTGGCTTTGGCTTTTCATGACTGGTGATGAGATTGGATACCTCTTCACATGTTTATTGGCCACAAGTGTTTCCTTTAACCCCATTTGAACGACGGGGCCATAAAGTTTATGTGGCAGATCTTGGGTGCCCACAGTGTGCTTTCCTTGAGGAGCCAGGCAGGGGCTTTCAGAACGGCAAGTGTGTGTCTCCCCCTGGGCAGGAGCCTGTCCTGCCTCTGCTGGTTTCTTGCTCAGTGTCATGGACTTCATGCCCTGAATCTTGAGAGAAACTTCTTTCCTGCATAGGATGTGAGAGCCCACCTCTCACTACTGACCTTCCTGGTCCAAGGCTGTCACCTGCTCTGGGGGCTGCAGGAGACAGGGAGGGGAAGCCAGTGATGGACAGGTCTCAGAAGGCTGATGAAGCAGGAGAAGCTGGCATAGCAGTACTGGCGTCATAGCAAATATCCCTCCTGGGTCAGTCCTCCTGAAAAGGTTGGGAGGGAGCTCTGGGTCCTATGTTGCTGAGGAGGGGATTGCAGTGCCTTAACCTGCAGAGGAATCAGGGAGCTGGGTGAACTCTTGTTCTTCTCAGACCTCTGCTCAGAGGCCACCTCAAGAGTGCTCCCTTCATACTGGCTCCAATCTGTCTCCCTCCTTAAATGCCCCCCCCGACCCCCGCCCCGCCTGCACCAGGGAGCCTGCATGTTTGTTTATCCTCAGACTGGAGCTGTGAGAGGCAGAGGGGAAGGAGGAAGATTTGGGGCTGCAACTCTCAGGAACCCTCTGGATTCAACATGCGTTCAGGTGGAGATGAAATTGGAGTGCCTTAAGCCTTCTCCTCACAATGCCCCCTACTCGCCTGGAGTCCCACCTCTGGGAGTCCAACTCCTACCTGGGGTCCCCCTTACCTGGAAAGGAGGCTCCTCCTGAGGACATAGATGATGGAAAGTGCAGTCAGGGCAAACAACTTCCAGCCAAGCAGGAGGAGGGTCCCAAAGAGGGAGCTGCATTCTCTGGCGCCTGTGACTGAAGATAGCAGGATGAGCTTGCTTCCTGCTTCCATTGATCAGCCCCCAGGCAGGCTCAGCCCCACCCCAGATTCAGGTACCAAGACTGTACCTTGGTCTTGGAGAGAGTCACCTCACCTTTCAGAACCTCATTTTCCTAACCTTTAAAAGGGGAATTGTAACATGTACTTTATAATATTTTTGTATCAAATGGGAGCACCCAAGGAAAGTATCTAATAGATGCTCAGTAACTGAATATGAACGGCTTTGGGGAGGATGGGTGGGAATTGGGGAAAGATGTTTCATATTATCTTAGTTATTCACAGCAATATCTGACAGAATGGGTGCATGTTCAGGATGCAGCTGTGTGATGAGAGCAGCACTCACTGTTATTGGTACCTAAGGCATCACTCTCTGAAGAGGTTGCTATAATTGTTGTCCCATTTTCTAGATGAAGAAACTGAGTTTCAGAAAGGTGAAGTGACTTTCCCAAGGTCACACATGAGGAACACACAGAGCCAGCATTTGAACCCGGCCTGTCTCTCTGCAGGTCCAAACCTTGAACTGCTTGGTTTTTCCAGCCCTACTCACCCAAACTTGCTTGAATTTCTCTAAATTCGCTAAGCTGCACGCTGGCCTGGACCAGTGTCTGAGCCTCAAGTTCCACTTGGCAGGTGAATAGGCTTTGGTCTTCTGAGGCATTCAGCAGGATATGACAGTCTTGGCTGAGTGTGCCATCTGGGTTCTTGGTGGGGGCGAAGGACTCACAGGTTCTGGACCATCTGTTCCTCTGCAGCCAGGTGATTTGTATGCCATCAGGGTAAAACCTTTGCACGTGGCAGATGAGGATGACCGCCTGGAGACTTGGGACATGGTGTGTCGATATGTTCACTGTGGGTACAACTGAAATAAAGCCCTTCCTTTGTTACTTTCTTCCTTCACACGAAAGATGCTCAAGGAGCATCTCACATTTCTAGGCATTACACTCGTTTCTTGGGATACAGCAGTGAACAAAACAGACACAGGCCCTGCGTCATGGAGCTCCTGCTCTGGGGGGAATAACGTTGAGGAAAAAAGCAGTTGCACAACCCCATAAGGGGTCTGAGAGCCTACACAGGGGCACCTGACCTGGTCTGGAGGTGGGGCAGGTTAGGGGGAGTGTCTGGAAAAAGTGAACTTTGAGCAGAAATATGAAGGATGAAGAGGAATTAACTACATGTGGCAGATTGTATTTTCCAAAAATGGCCACAGCGAGCCCCGCAATGTCTTCCAGACCTTGCCACTCCCTAGCAGAGGCGACACTCTGTGACTTCTGAGGCTGGGTCAGATATGTTGATGTGGCTTCCACCTCGGATTCTTGGGACACTCACCTTTGGAACCAGCCACCAAGCTATGAGGAAGCCCAACCTAGCCCATGTGGAAAGTTGATAAGGAGAGACCCATGTCAAGAAGAACTGACGTCCCAAACTGAGAGCCAGCACCGATGGCCAGACATGTTAGTGAAGGAGCCTTCAGATGATTCCAGCCTGTGAATCATCCAGCTTAGGTCCCAGAGTCGTGGAGCAGAGACAAGCCGTCCCCGCTAGGCCCTATCCAAATTCCTGACCTATAGAATATGTGGTTATGATAATTTTGGGGATTTGGAGTAAGTTTAGAATATTGGAATAAAGTTTGGGGATAATTTGTTATGCAGTCCTGGTAACTGGAGCTTTAGGCAAAGGGGCTGGGGGAGCGTCAGTGGCCAGAGGGCACTGGAAAAGGTGGACTGTGGGGAAGTGAATCTCAGGCAGAGGGAAGGGCCTGGGCAGAGGCCCTGAGGTGAAGCCTAGGATGTTCCAAGGGCAGAAAGATGACCAAAGTGAGTGAGGGGAAGCGTGGGCGAGATGAAGCCACACTCATAGCCAGTTTGAAGCCTGTCTGCACTTACTGGTGCTGCACATACCCCTGGGGGGACACAAGGACATCCTAAGGAGATATACCTTGATGATTTAATACAACTAATTTCCGGATGCCGAACCCTCATATGACTCTTTCCTGAAGTTGATCTGGTTGAGAATGAACACTGAGGTTGGTTCCTTCTCCTGCTTGCTGTTACTCAATTCTCCTTCTCCCATTGTTACAAAAGAAAGGCCTTCCTGCACAGATCCCGAATCTAGCTGTGGTACATTGTCCTTGGTGTAAAGACTTTGGGACACAAAATAAAAGGGCAGTTCAAAATACCACTGGCCAGAAAGCCAGCTTTAATCAAAGCATCATAAGCTTCCCCATCTATCTCACTGAATTTCTGTCAACATTTTAAGGATTATTTTAATAATGATTTATCAAAATTTATCATATATTTAGATTTTTTGATCCATTGTGTAATTCAATCCAAAAGAATCTGTTTTAACACTTAGATCCTTATGGTTATAAGAAAAAACTTTAAGAAATTCACTTTGTATATTTTTTTGTGCTAGTTACCTGTGTTCTCATAGCCCTCTATGATTGGATGATGTTGTGGTCGATAAAAGACTTTCAAATATAAAATATGCTACACTGGGATAAAGTTCTCCCTGGAGTTAGAATGCAAATACAAATTTAGGATGAAAATGGAATGATATAAAATTTCTGATTTATAAAGAAGAGCTAGTTTACATGCGTTGAAATGAATTATGGTGGAAATCAAATCTGTATGATGTTATTTTTCCATTGAGTATTTTCAGAATGATGTAACATTTGTAATACCCCAGGAGTTATGTGCTCTGCAACTATTTAAGCATACGATGAACAATTTAGATGATAACTTTAAAATATATGATGAGCCACATAGTTCTTCACAATTTTTTTAGGGGTAAATGAACAAAAATGGGTGAAGATCACTGTTGAACATTCTGGTAAGGATTTTGTTTCTTTCTTGTAAGAGCAGTGGTGAAACACTGAAAGGTTTTAAACAAAGGAGGGACACAACCTGACTTCCTTGATAAAATGCCCTCGGCTGCTATGGGGTTGGGGGATGGACTGTGGAGGGTCATGGTGGATATGAGTGTGGGGCTGTTGGATACAGGTAAGAGGTGATGTTGGCTTGACCTTGGGTATTAACCTGGGTAGTGGTAGTAGATAGCAAGTAGATAGTAGGCTGAGAGGAGATTTTGGAAGGAAATCTGATAGAACTTGGAGATGAATTGGCTAAGAACTGGTATCTGGCTTGGCTGACTGGGTTGATGGAGAGTCTCTTCATTGACATGGGGAAACAGGAGGAGCCAAGGGTTTAGAGAAAGTGGAGAGAGCAGCACAATGCCCATCTCTGGGCTGATCATGACTGAACCATCCCTCTTGGGGAAGGGGACCCTGCCCTTCTCTGGGAGCTCTGCCTGGGGAGTTCTTACAGGAGGGAGGTCAGAGATGGTCTTCTGAAGAGGTGTGTTACTGGATTCGAATTAAAGCTCACTAATAAAGAGCCATGTGACCTTGGACAAGTCCCTTCTCTTGTCTAGGCCTTGATTCGTCATCTGCATGAAGCAGGGACACACAGTCTCTTTGGGATGTTCGAGGTGGAGGCTAGAATTCCATTTCCAGGCTGCAGCTCTCACGTGGTGTCTTTAGGTTAAGCAAAGCCCAACTCCTACTTTGGGCTGGAGGAATTTGGTTAAGAAGGAGTTAAAGTCTTCTTTACAATCATACCACATACTGTCTGCAATGAGGAGGGGGTGTTGTGTTATGATATTATTAATGGGTGCTCTTTGGTTGTCTCTGCTGGAGCTGGAGAGAAGGAGAGTTGGGTCTCTGGACCCCTGGAAGGAATTCATCATCTGCAGGAGATAAGTGGGACTCTGCCATGCTGAGGTTATTGAGGGGAGGTGCTGTGGCTAAGAGTACAGACCCCTTAGGAAATTCCTTGTGAAGGCCTGGGCAGATGGACTTACCCAGGAGTGAGGTTCATTTCCTTTGCCTGTTGTTTCATATTTCTGCAAAGTCTTATTCAACACAACAGTAAAGGGCTTTGGCTTTATGGGGTCAGAGTAAGAAAGGTGGAGGCTTAGTCTTGTCTGCATTGTTCCCTCCCCTGATGCCAAGGTGGGTTTAAGAAGCTTGTTTCAAAGGCAGTGACTGACAGCAAAGCAGTGGTGGTGTGGTGGTTTGGACAATCATGTTAAGAGTCCATATGAAGAGTCCAAGTGGCAGAAACGTCCTTGCTGTGACCTGGAAGCCCTGTATGATCTGGTCCCTACTCGTTTCTGTCTAGCCTCTTCCCTTCCATGCACCTTCTTCACACTAACCCACTTGAGCTTTATCCCTGAGCTTCAAACATGACTTGCTCTCCACCACTCCCCATCCTCTGCCTGCAACATTCTATTTTTCTCTTGGCTGACTCCTTTTTGTCTTTCATGTCTTGGCTCAAACATCACTTCTTCAAAGAGGCATTTCCTGAGTTAATTAGATATCTCCTGTTTTTTTTTTTTTTAAAGATTTTATTATTTACTTTTTCTCCCCAAAGCCCCCCCGGTACATAGTTGCGTATTCTTCGTTGTGGGTTCTTCTAGTTGTGGCATGTGGGACGCTGCCTCAGCGTGGTCTGATGAGCAGTGCCATGTCCGCGCCCAGGATTCGAACCAACGAAACACTGGGCTGCCTGCAGCGGAGCACGCGAACTTAACCACTCGGCCACGGGGCCAGCCCCTAGATTTCTCCTGTTTTTATCTATTGATTCAGTACTCTGTTCTTTCCCCTCTCAACAAATGTTAGAAGTCATAACCATATAGTTGTTTGCATCTTGGTTGATGGGGTTTACAGGACTGTGGACTTAGTGAGGCAGAACCATGTGTATTCTGTTTCTCATGGATTCCTCAACACCTAGAGTAAAGCTGCCAGACAGCAGATGCTCAAGAAAGACTTGTTGAATGAATGATTTAACTTCCACTTCTCAAATACACTAGAGGGAAGGGAGCTCTGAAAAAGAAGGACCTGATCAAGGCATTGTGTGAGCAGAGGATGGTCATATAAGATGGAGAACCTCATACCACCTCATGTAGGGCTTATTGAAGAGTGAAGAGTGAAAAGGGGGACGCAGGGGAAGTGCTTCAAGCAGGGACATGGGGTGGTCACCTAGGGTTGGCCTTCTGGGTGAGTGGGAGATCCTTACCTTGGAGGAATTTGGAGATGTTCACATGGCTACTGAGGGGGCTCTGCAATTCACTGTGAGCCACTTGACAGGTGACCTGGGAGTGGAGTGAGGAGAAGGCAAGAGTCACCAGGGTGGTGCTGACGATGGTGTAAGAGAAAGCGTCTCCAGGTGGGAAGATGTCAGTCTGAAGGGCTGGAAGCTCCACTCCATTTTCAAACCATTTCAGATATATGTTTTTGGGAAAGAAGCCAGTTGACGTGCAGGTTAGATTCACTCCTTGGCCTGGGCTGGCCCTGTTGGAAGGGCCAGAGACCTCGGGAAGAGAGGGCTTAGCTTTGATCAAGGCAAGGAGGAGAGAAGAGAGAAACGAAGACGGTAAGTTACTCTCTAGTACAATTCCTGCCCTTATCGTTCAGCCAGCTGGACTTACCCCAATCTCTCATGTCTTCTTTCTTTTCTTCATAACTTTTTAATGACTCTTCTTATCATAACAGCTTGCCAACTGGCCTCACTGACTTTGCTTCTCAACCTTCCCGCCCACACTCAGAAACCAGACCATGGTGATCGTGCTGAAATGAAGATCTGACCTTGTCATTCTCCTCCCCTTCCTTCCCAAAATACATTGTATAAAAGTCATATAAGGTATATAATGAAGAACATCAGACTTCTATCTTCCTCTCCTTGCAAAAATGACAGATCAACCACTTTTAACTATTTTGCCTGATTCTTGGGACATTTCTCTCTGTGTTTCTAAATAACTTGCTTATACCGGTGTTTCTCTGTTTTTCAGTTTTATGTGTTACTGATAGACCTACTACTAGGGAAGATGATTTTTAGCTCTCTTCCATCTCCCTCCACCTGCCAATCACACTTCCCTCTTCAGAGCCTCCTATCATAGACACAGCAAAATCTTTTATTTTGTCAGAATTCAACATTTATATTATTATGACCAAAGGACCATCGTTCATAACTGGGCCATGCAATACATCATGATTACATTTCCTTTCTGTTAACAGCTTTTTGTTTTCTCAGGAGAATTTTTAGTGGTCTCATGTTTATATTTCTTTTAATGGAAAATTAGTATATAACATTATATAAGTTTCATGCATACATCATTATAATTTGATGTTCGTATACTCTAGAAATTGATCACCACCATAAGTATAGTTACCATCCATCACCATACAATTCAGCCCCTTCACTCATTCCATCCACCCTCCAACCTCCTTTCCCTCTCGTATCAACTAATCTGTTCTTTGTATCTATGAGTTTGTTTTGTTTTGTTTGCTCATTTGTTTTGTTTTTTAGATTCTACATATACGTGAAATCATATAGTATTTTTCTTTCTCCCTCTGTCTTATTTTGCTTAGCATAATACCCTCAGGATCCATCCATGTTGTCACAAATGGCAAGATTTCATTCTTTTTTCATGGCTGAGTAGTATTCCATTGTGTGTGTGTGTGTGTGTGTGTGTGTGTGTATATATATATATATATATATATATATACACCACATATTCTTTATCCATGCATTCATCAATGGGCACTTGGGTTGTTTCCAAGTCTTGGTATTATAAATAATGCTGCAATGAGCATAGGGGTGCATATATCTTTTCAGATTAATGTTTTCATATTCTTTGTAAATTTTGGATATTAACCCCTTATCAGATATCTGATTTGGAAATGTCTTCTCCCATTCAGTAGGTTGACTTTTCTCTTTGTTGATGATTTCTTTCGCTGTGCAGGAGCTTTTTAGCTTGAAGTAGACCCATTTGTTTATTTTTGCTTTTGTTTCCCTTTCCTTTAGAGTCAGATCCAAAAGGTATTGCTAAAATATCTCTCCCTGATGTCCAGGAGCTTATCACCTATTTTTCTTCTAGGAATTTTATGGTCTCAGGACTTACATTCAAGTCTTTAACCCATTTTGAGTTAATTTTTGTGTATGGTATAAGCTAGTGATCTAGTTTTATTCTTTTGCGTGTTGCCGCCCAGTTTTCACAGCACCACTTATTGAAGAGACTGTCCTTTCCCCTTGTATGTTTTTGGCTCCTTTATAGTAAATTAATTGTCCATATATATGTATATGAGAGCTTATTTCAGGGCTCTTTTTCCTATTCCATTGATTTATGTGTCTGTTTTTATGCCAATACCATATTGTTTTGATTGCTATAGCTTTGTAGTTTAGTTTGAAATCAGGGAGTAGATACCTCCAGCTTTGTCTTCTTTGTCAAGATTGCTTTGGCTATGTGGGATCTTTTGTGGTTCCATACATATTTTAGAATTATTTGTTCTAGTTCTGTGAAAATGCCATTGATATTTTGATGTGGATTGCACTGAATCTGTAGATTGCTTTGTTAAATAGGCATTTTAACATTATTAATTCTTCCAGTCCATGAACACGGAGTATCTTTCCATTTATTTGTGTTTTCTTCTATTTCTTTCATCAGTGTCTTATAGTTTTCGATGTACAGGTATTTCACCTCCTTTGTTAAATTTGTTCCTAGGTATTTAATTCTTTTTGATGCAATTGTAAATGAAACTGTTTTCTTAATTTCTTTTTATGATGGCTTATTAGTATATAGAAAGGCCACAGATTTCTGTATTTTGATTTTGTATCCTACAACTTTACTGAATTCATCTGTTAGTTCTAACAGTTTTTTGGTGGAGTGTTTAGGGTTTTCTATATATAGTACATGTCATCTGCAAATAGTGACAGTGTTATGCCTTCCTTTTTGATTTGGATGCCTTTTATTACTTTTTCTTGCCTGATTGCTCTGGCAGGACTTCCAATACTATGTTGAATACAAGTGGCGAGAGGGGGCATCCTTGTCTTGTTCCTGATCTTAAAGGAAGAGATTTCAGCTTTTCACTGTGATGTATGATCTTGGCTGTGGGTTTATCATATATGGCCTTTATTATGTTGAGTTATGTTCCCTTTATACCCACACTGTTGAGAATTTTTATCATAAGTGGGTGTTGTTATTTTCAAATGCTTTTACTGCATCTATTGTGATGATCATATGATTTTTATCCTTCATTTTGTTAATGTGGTGTATCATGTTACATGATTTGTGGGTGTTGAACCATGCTTGCATCCCTGGAATAAATCCCACTTGGTCATGGGGTATGATACTTTTAATGTATTGTTGAATTCTGTTTGCTAATATTTTGTTGAGGATTTTTGCGTCTATGTTCATCATGAATATTAGCCCATAATTGTATTTTTTATGGTATCCTTGTCCAGTTTTGGTATCAGGGTAATGCTGGCTTCTTAAAATGAATTTTGAAATGTTTTCTCTTCTTCAATTTTTGGAAGAGTTTGAGAAGGATAGGTATTACAGCTTCTTTGAATGTTTAGTAGAATTCACCAGTGAAGTCGTCTGGTCCTGCTCTTTTGTTTGTTGGGAAGTTTTTTTTTGTTACTAATTCAATCACCTTACTAGCAATCGGTATATTCAGATTTTCTATTTCTTCATGATTCAGTCTCGGAAGATAGTATATTTCTAGAAATTTATCCATTTATTCTAGATTGTCCAACTTTTGGCATATAATTGTTCATAATAGTGTCTTATGATATTTTGTATTTCCTTGGTATCAGGTGGAACTTCTCTTTCATTTCTGATTTTATTTATTTGAGCCCTCTTTCTTTTTTTCTTGGTGAGTCTAGACAAAGATTTGTCAATTTAGTTTATCTTTTCAAAGAACCAACTCTTAGTTTCACTGGTCTTTTCTGTTGTTTTTTCAGTCACTATTTCATTTATTTCCACTCTGATCTTTATTATTTCCTTACTTCTACTAACTTTTGGTTTTGTTTTTCCTTTTCTAGTTCTTTTGGGTGTATGGTCTTGTTTTTTCCATTTGCTTGGTTTCCTAGGAATCTATGATAAATTCATCCCTAAACTTTCTGCCAGATATGTATAACTCCTCCCAGTATGTATGAAACTGCTAAGTATTGTAGTGGACTTCAGTTTAGGGTATCTGTGTACCTGGGACTGCATAAAGACTTCTTGGGAAGATATACAGGCTTGGAATAAAATAGAAAACCTTTTATTCTGGTAATTTGTAAATGCATAAGAATAGAAAGTACTCATCATGGGACTTTAACAGTCTTCAACAAATGGCCAATCTTGTTTCATCTATACTTCTCCTACCATCACTGGTTTATTCTAAAGTAAATACAGACACTCTATCATTTCATTCACAACTACCTCCACATGTATACCTAAGAGTTAAGAATTTTTAAAAACATAATCCAAATGCCATTTTCACACTTAAAAATTTAATAATAATTAATAATAATTCCTAATTGCTTATTATTATATGTATTGCCTGTAGTTGGATCTGGAGGATCTAGTTGATTAAACCAGGTTCATAATTTTGGCAAGACTACTTCATAGGCGGTGCTGACAACTTTTTATTGCATTATATTAAGAGATGTAATATCTGGCCGTCTCTCTTTTTATGGTGTTCAGATTGATTAATGGCTTTGGGTGCTGTGAGGTTGATCCACCTGTTATAAAGTTCCCCATTCAACCTTTAGCCCAATGTCTTTAACAACTATAGATAATTATTGTCTAGCTCCATCCTTTCATTGGGGGTTTCACAGTGGTGATAGCCTAATATTACTATTCCTCTGTCTTCATTAGTTGCAATTATTCTTTCCCTCATCAACTATTTTTGGTTACTCTGACATACAGTTCATTGGGGAAAGGCAGGAAAATGCCTTTGTTTACCATCTTTTGAGTTTCAGAACAATGTGTTGGTGCCTTAGCACCTCCAAAGTTGACCAATGAAGTTTCTTCTATTTTTGTATTATTATGAAATCATGGATTTTAACATATTTGGTGAATTTCAATCTATTGTAATCTTTATCCTTTTTAATGCTTAAATTTAACCATCTTGGTGGGATTCTCCTATATGTTACTTCCTGAGTCTTTTTGAAATGACTTTGGTAGACATTGGTAACTTCCTTGCTTTCTGGTACAACAAAATATTCCAGACTCATTTTTCACATTTCTTCTTCAAGATCTGAAACCAGTCATTTCCCTAAGGAGCCCTGATTCTTTTTAGAGACCTGCTACTTGGAGACCAGACTCTGTGTACGAGTAGTGCTCATTACTATTGGGTTGTCATTGCTTCCAGGTCTTTTTGGTGAACAGGGTATGAAGTAAGGATTTTCTAGTAGAAAGACAATTAAATGGGTTAATACTGGTAGTTCTAATTCAAATTTAATGCAGCTGTTTAACCTAACTTCTTTGATTCTGTTCTGTTATGTCTCTTATACTGAAAATTCCAGTTCCCAAGGACATCAACACAATCACTTATTTGCTTTGT